TCAATTGAGTATCTTGGCTGCTCCGTGGTAGTCTGATACCTTGCAATCAATTGCTCCTTCACCTTCTTCCAACTCCATTCTCCAGTTCCCCATCCTTCCATATCACGTATTTCTTCCTTAAGCTCTTCTCCAACCACAAAACTGGTAATCTGCCTTACCATATCCAACTCTGAGGCGCCATTTGCTTCAGCCTGACTATGATAATTAATAATAAACTTCTTTACATTACCACCAACTTCAAATCTTACACTAGTGTCAGAATTATCAATTTTACGTGGTTTCACATGACTTCTAATCTCTTCATTTCTTTCTTCCTCACTACTATTCTCTGAAACTGAACTATCCTCATCACTTGAGCTACTAGACACGCTTGAATCACCATCACTATCCTCCTCCTTAACAATCTTCTTTACAACATTCTTTCCTTTCTCTTTCTTAACTACTTTAATAACCTCCTTATCCTTTTTCTTCTGTTCATTTTCTTCCTTAATTCTTCTCATTGAATTAATCATATCCGCCATTTCCTTCTCTCTTTGCAAATAATATTGTTGTTGGCTAAAGAATTGTTGTTGCCAATCCATTTCTTCCTCGTGGTCAGAGGGTACCAAGGCTTCTTGTTCTCTAAATCCCGTGAAAGCTGTAGGTGGAATAGGATCTTCAGAAGCAGTTGCTTCACGTTGTTTCCCACGAAGAGTTGATCCAGAAGCAGGTGGTGGTGGTGGTGGTAATACATTATAATTGACAGGATTCTCCTGAACATAAATCCTGCTACCTGAAACTCGTGGTGTTCTCTTATAATGAGAAGTAGGTGGTAATTCCAATTCTTCATCTCCATCATCCGCCACATTTTGATCATGAATTTGAATTACTGAAGACATTCTTTCTTCTGATAATTTTATTGAAAATAATTTGATTTAAAGAAAAACTCGAAATAATCTTAATATTGAATATTCTTCTTGAATTAAATATAAATTTTTTGCGTGTTAATTCAATTAAATTTGATAAAGAAAGCTTGAGGTTCTTGATGAATTAAATATTATAATTGTTTAAGTTAAATGAATTAATTAATTCTTGACTCTTGATGATAATAATTTTTCTTCGAAATTGATTCTTGATTTTTATTATTAATGTAGTAGTTAATTTTAATAATACATTTGTTGATGTTATAGATAATAATTAAGGAAATTATTAAATATTAAATGACAGATGTAGCCGTTGAAAGTAAAAACCCCATATGGACCACCAATATGTAGAACTTAAAGCTCAACAAGAGCTTTACAGAGCTTAAAGAGGGATAATCTACTAATAAAGTATCTAGTAGAAGTTGCCTAAGACTGCCTCTTTGAAAGAATCAACACGGGGTTTTGCTGAATTCTTTGGGATAAGGCACCAGAGAAAGTTGTCTCAATACTTAATTCAAGTATTATTCCCGTGATTTTTAATTATAAAGAAATCTCAACACTATTGTAGTGTTATTCCAATTTGAACACAATGAAACACAATTTTAATTACTAGCAAAGCAACAATCACTTTGATTGTTATTCCAATGAAGACTTGTAGTCTTATCACACGTAAAGAAATCTCTCCTTTGATGTAAAGGGGCAATTTAGTGAACTTAGTACTGGTAAAGTAATTTAATAATGATTAAAAACACTCTAACAAAAGTATAAGATGAGTAAAAAGGGGAACAAAGGCCCGTAAAATCCTTAACAATAGTATATAACCCTCCAACAACCTTCAACAATGGTCAACAACCTCCAAAAACCCTCAAAAACCGTCAAAATCAACAGAGTATCCTCCAATGTAATCATATGATGTCATAAAGATTATTGTTTGTAATGATTCAAGGCGTGAATTTGATCAATTGATGTAAATAAATGATGAACAGATCTTCTTATGATGAATACAGGTGATTTTTTCCTAATATTCATAGCTGAAATCCATTTTTGGAATTACGAATTTCTTGTAATGTTGTTCAATTTTGGATTACTATAGCTCATTTGATAGCCCTCGTGATTCTGATCATTTATCACCCCTATATCACCTATTTCTGATGTGTGATGAATAAGTTATTGAGTTGTAAAGATTGCAAAAATAAAGTTTTGTCATGTAAATGTCACATGTAACCTCCAAATTCGAAATTCACTCCAGTTTCTTTGTTGCCTTATACCTTTTTCACTACTCCTCCGCTACTAATGATTTAAAGGTTGTACATTATGAAACCAATGATTCTGCGTCGAATGAATTATCACACACCTAATTCTGACAAGTTTTACCATATGTAATTAACTGAAAACTCCCATTTTTGATGAATTTTGACTATTTTCACGTCTAATAATGATTTTCCTTCTATCAAAAGATCATTCCACAGCACTCCAATCAATCACACAGCATTAAAATCCTTCTGAAAAACTCTTGGCGCAATCAATCCATCAATGACATCACTACACAGGAATTAATACCATAGTACCCTTCTTCGAAATTTCCCTTTTCTTGAATAACTTCACACCTCCCTTATCAATCCTCATGATGAAAGTTGCTGATGACTAATGTGATCCTTCTCTTTCACAATAAAACCTTCCTGAACAAATATCTCTTCTAATAATAAGCTAAAACCATTCTCCAAACTTTCATACCCATATTTTCGAATTTTTCTTCACTCTTAAATGTTCTTATCAATTGCTTATGTAAATATATGATTTGAAAGATAATGAAATGAAGATTATAAATCAACTATGATAGCCTTGATTACTAATAACTTCAATAATAATAGTGCCTTTGACCAAAAACTCGAATTTTCACATAATTTTTAAATTTTTTGCTTAAGTAGAGATCTTGCTCACCACAACGTCAACAGATGCTAATAGTCAGGACCAGGTTGAGCGGCCGGCAACTCGACTAGCCTTGATCTGTCACCTACGTCGACCTCGACCTTCGCATGCATAAATTTCTCATGTCATGTTGATGTCTGGCGCTAAAGCAAGAATCATCAGGTTGCATGGGGTCCAACGCTTCCCTCCAGTCAACCTTTTCCCCCTCTTCCCATCAAAAATTTCTATTTTCGAAAAACCGTGTATTCCTCCTGTTTTCCTTTTTCGTTTGATGGGATTTCGCAAATACTCCGCCGACCTCAAACTCGCCGCCACCAAAATGTCACTTGAAAACCGTTCCTTAGCCGACATCAATCAAACCCTTGATCACAGCATCTCACCCCGGTCTCTTGCCCGCTGGAAGGAATTATACGAGAACACCAATAATGTTGTTCGAGATCCAGCTGACTACAAGATCCGTGGCCGACCACATCTCTCATCTGACAATCAACTCAATATATTACGAGACATTGTCCTTAAGAACCCCGATATGTATCTCGATGAGGTTCAGGCTCAGTTGGAACTAGTTACAGGCGTCAGGGTTTCCAAAACAACCATTGGCGACGAGCTGCACGAGCGTCTTGGCCTCTCTTTGCTGGTCACCAGGGGTGTTCATCACAAGCAATCAATTCGGGACCGTGCAACTTTCATCAGGACTGTCGCTGGAATACCACCCGAATGTTTCGTTTTCATAGGTAAGGGTTTCCTTCAGTCACGGATAATGCTTGTGTTCGAACGCTTATCAGGCCTCCTTGGTTTCTTTCCAGATGAGTCTGGTGTGGTTGGGCGAGACGTGTTACATCCGCGCTCATGGGCCCCCAGAGGTACCAGAACGGTTCGAACCAAGCGCTACGGCGATAGTGATCATTGGACAATCTTGCCTGCAGTTGGGGAACAAGGGATGATAGCGGGGGTTGTGGTCAAGGGGTCAGTGGAACGGATCCACGTTGAGATGTTTCTCAAGCGACATTTGGTGGGTCTTTTTGGCCTTTAACTTCTTATAATTGTTACTCATGCTTGTTTAATTTTGTATTTCATTGATAGCTACCTGTTATGAATGCGTACCCAGCTGCAAACTCGGTCCTGGTACTTGATAATGCCAAGATTCATCATGGTGGTGATATAGAAGATATATGTCGTGAGAAAGGCATACTTCTCGTTTATCTACCAGCCTATTCTCCCGATCTCAACCCAATCGAGAAGGCTTTTGCCGCTATGAAAAAGAGACTTCAGAGGGAAAAAGTCTGGCATTTAATAAACAATAAAGCTACTTATCTACTCCGTTTGGCGGGTAGGGTGATGACATGAAGGCTAATGCAACCATTAATCGTCAACAGTGGTTATACCACGGACTACTATTGGGACCAGTAAAACGCCAGGTTTGATGACTGAATCAGTCGTCCTACATATGAGTCGCAGCACCATAGGCTATGTTCTTCTCTCGCAAGATTTTGCTTCTAAAAAAGACTGGTTTTTTTTCTCTTGAAAGTCATTGTTCTTTCTCTTACGTTTGTTTACCCAAATATGAGAATCTTTACCCGTTGTTGTTCCTTGCTTAATCCGTTGTTTCGCGTCTTGTCCGGGGTGTGATCGGTTCTTTTTTTGCGTATGAAAGATATGGCTTAGTTCCTCAACTAACAGTCCCACGTGCCCCATGATTGAGTCAACCAGTTAGAAAAAAAAACCACCAGCAAAACTTTGCTCTGGGCCTTATCAACTTAGAATGAACTTGCGATTCTTATGCAATTGCATCGGGTGTCCCTCATCAAATCGGCAAAAAAAAACCTAACATCTTTCTGCATTTCAGGGGCGGTGTGATTGACCGGTATCGAGATTGAACATCCTTTTGATGTCAAAGGATGTTCAATCTAATGATTGAATACACTTGTGTATTCAATCGTTTGGGAGGCACAGTTGGGGAAATCAAAAGCCATTGAATTCCCAAGGCGCATATGGCCTATCAGACTGCAGACAAATTAGACATAAACAAAGGCTCTCAGGAGGTCGCACACATATTTATAGAAAAAAAAAAACATCGATTTCGCACACAAGAGTTTTTTAGAGGAAAAACAAAGAAAATGGGCAATTGCCCTTTGGGAGACGGGGTTTTTGATGGCTGGGGTTACTTGATTAACAGCCGCCTGAACGACTAGGTCCAGCGCGAGGAGCAGAGTAAGGGATGCGACTGGGACCAGCTTGAGGTGCAGTAGGAGTGGATTGGCTGGTTTCGGCGAAACGGCGAGTCTTTGAGTTGTTAGAAACTTTGCAAGGGGTCGCGGTGGCGAAGGGGGCGAATTCCTTCTTGAGATGTTGGTAGAACATACGACTTTGCGCAAATAGCTTCATAGCCATCCCCCAAGTGATTCCTAACTTCAATAGGTCGCGGATGTCCATCAAATCAGGGAATAAGAATTGATTGAAATTCTCGATGTGGTGATCGCCTAACAACTCGGCCAGTTCGGCAACAAAGTAAGGGGCTACCCCAGCGTAATCTAAGAACTCTTCCAGAGTGCAGTATTTCTTGAGTTCCTCGAGTTCCTCACGATTAACTCGTATATGATACCCCTGGCATTCGGAGTATCCGCCGGGTTTATCGAGATGGAAAACGTCAAAGTCGGGGCCTTTGAGCCTTTTGGCAGAGGGTGGCGGAGCCGCTGTTGACAGTGGTCTTTTGACGTCCGTCCACTCGAATCCTTTGAGATACATTGGGGGGTTTTCTAAATCCACACCCGCTTTTGACTCGGCCTGAAGAGATACACCATCAGCAATTGTATCAAGGTTAAGGAGATATAGATAGGATCTCACCATCTCTTGAGCCCATTTGTGCAAGTGCTCATAGTTCATCTGCATAAATTTGGAAGCTTCATTCGGTTTATACACACGCCATCCCTCGCGACTGTGGTTGTCGAGGCTACCATATTCTTTAATGATGGCTTCAAGGTTGACTTGGATAGGGTCGAGAGGAATTGCATTGGTGAGTTGAGACGAAGTGAGCGGAACGTTGTTCATGGCACTCATAGCTTTGAGCCTGGTTTGTGCCATCGCAATCTTCTGCAAAAGAGGTAAAAATTCAGTGATAAAGAAAATATGAACCCCAGCAGAACAGGTACTTACAGTGTCGGCCATTTTTGCTGATTTGGCTGGATCGGCCATAGAAATCGTGATTCCGGCCTCCTTCAATGGCGCAAGCTGCATTCCCGCAAAGAAGTCTTGGGCATCCTGATTGGAGACGAGTTTCCGACCCTTGCTCCGACTGAAGACGTCGTGTTGATTGATATAAGCGCTGATGATTACAGAGCCACTAGCGTCCGCTAATTTAAAGATTGCACCGTTCCCACCAGGGGGAGCATCTTGGTCAATGGTATCAGCCACGGTGAGAAGGATTTGTTTCAGGGCAACAAAATCGTTGTTGTTGATGTCGATGATTTTCGTGGTTGGCTCAATCCTATACGCCATCCATTTCCCGACACTGTTTTTCAATTTTTGGACGGAGGTTTTGAGGGGATTGACACCTTTTTCAGTGTACATCAAATGAGAAAGCTTGACATTATAAGATCCCATGACGTTCACTTCCACCATCGGGCCTGTATACATCATGTGGGTAGTTAGATGGTAGAAGTCAGACGGGTGAAAAGATCAAGACTGACCTTTGCCTTTGTCGGTTGATTGAATCACAAGATCGTCAGAGTCGTTGGAAGCCTGAGAACCGACTGGCATCGTATTTTCTTTGTGACGGGATTGTGTTGGCGTAGCAAGATCTGAACGCATGGTGGCTTCAAAAATCCACACAGAGGAGCTTTTGACAGGGTAATTCCAGTCAAAATCGTCAAGCTCGTCCAGCTCATCACCGCTATCCATGTCGAGATGAATGGTATTGGGCTGGGCGACGCTGGTAACAACAGGACTCGCTGATTTCGGAGTCCAACCTGCTTGAGTGACATGGCCTAAGTTTGCCATGGTCACACTGCTGGCGTATCGGTTGGCCCCAGGGTGAACGTAAGGCCTACAACAATCACCGCACAGATCAGTCATAGTGTCAAAGTCAAACAAAACATCAAAAAGAAACCAATCTCACCTCTTCAACACTTCGCTGTAACTCGCAGGAGTCGCCAATGGCGCCGTTTGGTGGCCTAAGGAGCTGAACACCATGTTGCCTGAGACACCATGACCGCTAGGATGCACAAGAGGGCTAGAAAAAAACAACCAAAGAATTAGAAAAAGAATTTTCATCCACCAAGAGACAAAAAAAAACCATACCCCAATAAGGGTCCATTGTAGTCGATACCAGATGGCTTCATGATGTTGTTGGCGAGGAAAGAAGCGTCTTGAGATGACATTGTAGAGATTTTCAGACGTATTTGATGAAATGAAAGGGTTTTTAAAAACGGGAGATGTGGTCGATTTGAAATGAGACGAATACGAGTTTTTTTGATGAAAGAAATCTTTGATTGAACCAGGGGAAGAAAGTCGACTTGAGGGATGCGTTTGACCCCATCGAAATTGACCAATTGTAGCTGAGGGTGTGGTTCGTTTGGATTGGCACCAGAATTCATGGTGACAAGACAAATTCATGCAAGGTTGAGGTCGAGGTCGAGGGCATGCTGCAGCTGTTGTAGCCAGCTTTGCCTAGCTTCTTTCCGGTAAAGCAACCCGGTTGTGTACAGCGGATTTCCGGCCGCTCGACCCGGGCCCGGTTGACATGGCGCACGTTCTTCTAGGACTTTTGAAAACTTGCGATGTGGCAACCTTTTCCGGTTTGACTGTAATTTAGATACAACTGATACAGAGCTATAGTGAAATCATAGTTTTTCATTATGTACGCGCCTTTTTGCTGCTTCAAAACTTTGAAGCCCTATGAGGGAGGCCCCCTCCAAATACAAAGTCTAACTTTGTGATTGCAATACATTGTTGTATTGCTTGTGTTGTACACCCACTTCGGTAAAAAAAGTTGCATTAATAATCTAATGCAACTTTTACATCACGGTGAGAAAAATTCTCACCGTGTATGTATATGTAAAATCACACAAGAGTTTGATTGCTGGAGACGTTTGGTAACCAGATAGAAAGTGACATGCAATCAACTTCTCAAGACCATCGATTACAATGATGTCTGTTACGAGTTGGTAAACAAGATCATTGGCTTCATCAAGTTCAATGATCAACGAAATCTCACTCTCCAATCATCACTCTCAACTTATCATTGTACCAGCTCTCGCTTGTAAACTTCAGTTCTTTTATGAACATTTTAAACTTTTGAACGTGATGATTGCGATGAAATTTGAATTCAATAAGTTTCAATGAAAAATGGAAAACAGTTAAGATGAAAAGTTGAATCACAAAAAGTTAGGTTGGATGGTCAAGAAGCAGATAGTTGATGAGTTTGACAGGTTTTGAATTTGGAAAGTTCGAGAGTGATTGAGGTTGAGGTGAGGATGAGATGATGTTGGTTGTGATAAGCGATAAAAAACGGACAAGTACGAGAAAATCAAGTAATACGTTGATCAGAAGAGAGTGATGCAAGAGGTCGCAGTTGCATTCATTTGAAAATTATGGTGTTCAAACATGCGCAAGAAATTTGCAAGTTGCGAGAAAGTTCTGTGCAAGTTCTTTTAAACATCTTGCATAGAACTTGCACAAAACTTGCAGACTTAAGAAAGTTATGTGTGAACCTGGGCTTCCCCGCTTTGAGGACTCAGTTTGCCCTTGATGAGAAAGGGTAAATACATACAGCACGGGGTTGTGAAAAAATCAATTAAGCAAGATCCGTGCAAGATTTCTTGCACGGATCTTGCACGGATCTTGCACATCGGTTTTGCAAATTTCTTGCACATTTGAACACCATAAATGTTCGACTTTTAGTCGTTTTCAAGAATGCTCACAATTTTTGCACATATGTGCAGAAATCCGTGTATCTCTTTTGTTGCATTTTTGTTTACCGAACGAGATTTTTGGGTGACATATGCGACCAAAAATCAGTGCAGCTTTTTGGTGGTGCGCAGTCGGTCGCCCACGCACCTGTGTCACAATAAATGCATGGACTCAACCCGAAGAAAAAGTGAGCAATCATTTCGGCTTGTATCCGAAAGTTTGCAGACAGATGCATCCCAGATGCACAGAGACATCTGCTCAACCTTTATAAACACCAAGTCAAAGTCCTCTACCACACCAAACAAGTATGTAAACATTGCTCAGACAGTCTCAGGAGCACTCTAGAGTACATATGGACTTTTTTACTACAATTCCAGAGGTTTGCCCTTTTCACATACTCAGAGGGATTTATAGGCGTCCAGATGAATCTGACATGGCTACACATTGTGATTCAGACTGTCCCCGCGTGCACAATCAGATCAATCTGACTGTCCAGAGCACATGATGCTCTCAATGATATGGACGTACCCACTCAGATGCATCTGAGTCAGAAGAATCTGAAACCTCCCCGTCAAAATTCACTCCCCCCAGATTCAGATCAATCTGACTTTTCACAGTACAACATGTTCTCAATCATGATAGCCAGACCTTCTGATTGACGTACCCAGATGCATCTGGTTATGCTAACCGGACAAGAATCAGATCAGTCTGCCTTGTCCAGCTCTAGTCATGCGGCACTAGGATACCCAGATGCATCTGGTTGCCTGAATCAGCCAGATCTTCCAGTCAACATATCCAGATGCATCTGGCTCAGATAAATTCAACACTTGCACACCAAGATTCCCTCACTCCCAGATTCAGATCAATCTGACTATCTGCCTTGTCCAGCTCTAGTCATGCGGCACTAGGATACTCAGATGCATCTGGTTGCCTGAATCAGCCAGATCTTCCAGTCAACATATCCAGATGCATCTGGCTCAGATAAATTCAACACTTGCACACCAAGATTCCCTCACTCCCAGATTCAGATCAATCTGACTATTCAGAGAACATGTACCTGATAGCTGGACTTTCTGATTGACATACCCAGATGCATCTGGTTACGCCGGCCAAGAAATATCCATCCACTCATGTCGTCCACATCGCTCACATCACAATCCCATTAGTATATCACCATTGGACGTTCTCACTTCTGAAGGGCTATCTGGCGCCAAAGTTTGTTAAACAGAAATCAATTCCAATTGAAAACGGGTAGGCCAGGCACTGCGGCTACAAGAGAAAGTAGAAACAAAAAATAGAAGAAGAGATAGAGGGCTGGCAGATAAATTTGAAAAAGAGTTAAAAAAAACTAGAAAACAAAACAAATTTTGATCAACTATTCTTTGTCGTTGTCATCATCCTCAATCTCAATCTCATCACCCTCCATTGATCCATCATCATCATCATCATCTAAATCGTCATCTAAATCATCATCATCCTCATCTAAATCAACTTCTTGATCTTCATCTTCGCTATATTCGGTGTCTTCTTCCTCATCTCCGTCAACAAATTCAGCCGACTTTATTTTCTTCTTACGCTTTCCATCCTTGGTTTTGTTAGTTTTTGATTGAATGGATTTCGATTTCTTGGATGCAATAGATTTTGAATTCTCGGATGCTGCCAACGGTTCTAACCTAAAATGCTCACTATTCAAGTCATCAAGCCATTCCTGTCGATGAACCTTGGTCATTGCCTTGTGACCAACTCTCAAGTCATCCTCACTGAGTTTGGACCCAGGCGCTTGCACAATTTTAACCGGAATATTGCGCTTGATAAGACCTTCAATTGGATCACCGGTGAGAGGAAATTGTTTACCTCTAGTCGGGCTGTATCCCAGTACGTCAACTACAAATAAAGGAGACATTGCATATCAGCAAAATTGAAAGTACAAATATTTAGGTCAAAGTTGGACATACCAAGTCTTTCATTCAAAAGGTTTGCCAGTTGGGTCTTCAGCAGATCACTCGGTTGCACCTTACTGGAAATGGTTCCAGTAGGTATCTTCTTTTTTTTTGATTGGCTAGCCTTAGAAATCGCGTTGATCATCGACTAGCCCTGAGCCACTGTTGCAAATACAGGAGTGAGGCCGATTTCGCGATCAGCCCAATTGGTGACAGCAGGTATTGCTGAGTATTCTCTGGACCATCCAGGACCAGAGTTTTTGCTTGGCGTGTGAGCGCTTGAAGCCAGGAAAATGTATTTGAACTTCAAGCGCTCGCCATCGCGGGCAATCTAGGAAAAAACGAAGTAATTAAGATTGGATGCCAATGATGAGATGGATGAAGCAAGGTGTAAAATAAGTGAAGGACTTACAATTTTTGCGAGATGACAAACACGCTGCAAAGACCGTCCATTGAGATCCTTGTCCGCCGGTAGTCTTCCTTCCTTCCTCAAGACTTTCTCGTGTGCGACAAGCTCTTCATAAATTGGGCAATACTTTTCCTCGTCCTCCGGACTAAGTAAAGGAAAAGTAGGGGTGTTTGATTCGTCGTTGGCCGGGTTGTCAAGATCGGGAATACCAGCCAACACAAAGAAGTGGGTACGATTAAAAAAACGACGTTCTTCGGGACCATAAGTTCTCCAGATTCTACCAGCTTCTTTGTTCCTAATCTTCAATGTGTCACCACCACCTCCTTTCTTAGGCACTATTAAAATGAACAACACAGTAACATTTGTTAAGTAATGAATGGCACAATAGGTCCAAATTTACGTACTTTTGAGCGCGATCACCGCTTTAGAATAAGCCAAAAACCTGAGGTAGTTATCGCGAGGGCGTGTGGGACTGCCTTCGCCACTGATGATCGAATGAATATTGTAAGCATCTAAACAAGACAAGTTTGAAAAGCAGAGACTTAGATGTTACTTACAGTTCTTCCTCGAGTGTACTATGTTTGATTTTCCCGATCGCAGCCAGGAACAACTTGGTCTTCTGATATTGGAGCTTTGCAAGTCTAGCCTCAGCAAGGATGTTGACCGGAATACAAGATACAGTCTTGGTTCGAGCATCAACGACTCCTTGAAGGCGTGTCATGGGCCACGCTTTTCCATGTTGGCAATGATTCTCAAGAGTGATGGTCGAGTCAAAGATCTCGACATCTTCGGCAGGTGGCGTGGTGGGCGGAGCGCGATTTGCAACAGTCCCACCAACTGGGGAATCGGGTCCAGGTGCTGCTGGAGAATCCGGCTGGGGTAACGGTGGGGGTAACTGAGCTGGCTGAGTTTCAGGTTGATTGTTTTGCTTTGAGTCTGGCCCCGTTTTACGTTTCTTCTGGTTTCAAGAGTTTCCTTTGGATTCATTTGCACGTTTTGGGGCCGGCTGTGATTGCGAATTGGTTTCCGTGGGGTCTTGCTGCGCAGTGGAAGCTGAAACCCTAGAGCGTGTGTAAGATCCTCGAAAGGATCTTCACTAAGGTTGGCTCTGACGGGAACA